ATATATCTAATGTATGTACATATCTCACTGTGAAACTATGTGCATTTGGTATATTTATCATCGTAATCGGAATACTTTTTTGTTAGCGATGACGTTAGCCGGCTTTAGAGCGATTGGATTTTATATTATATTTAGGCAGATTGCGACACAATTATTCGAGTATTATTCATCGAACGCATTTAACGCTTCCTGTAATTTGTCGACTATTTTTTGATAGAAGGTGATTTGTTCCTTGAGATGTGTCTTTACAGCTTTATTTATATGTACCTCGCGTTCCGTTTGAAAATGCGTTTCCTCGGCGATCAGCGCGCGGGCTATCACGTCAGTTCGATGGGAAAGCTCACGTAATTGCTGTGGTTCCATCTTGTGCTCGCTAACCAATCGATCGCAATCCTTTCGCTTTTGTACGGCGCTCTATAGAAGAAAGAGACATCAATAATTAATCTATTCAAATTAAACTTTAATTAATTGTACTGTGATATCGCGAAATACCTTATGAATGCTGATGACGTCTGGAAAATTGCTAATAATACCGCGATAGATATGAAACTTGTCAGCCAATGGCTCCCAATCGAATTTGGGCTGGTCGTCGTATAGCTTTCCAATATCATTGTAAGCGTCGCCGGTAGCCTTTAACGCGATCGTCAGCTTTCCGCGACCGTTATCGTCCGCCTCCAGAGCGTGGCCGAGCGACGTGAACGATTGACCAATTTTCTGGAATTCTCTTTTGTATAGTGTTTGGTGTTTTCTAGCTTGATCGACTGCCATTGCCATAAAGTTCTTCACTATCGGATCTAGGGCGCTGATAAATTTACCGAAGGCATCCATCTGAATCTCCATCTTTATGATATCCAGCGGCGTGTCCGGGCACTGGATAGCGTTGAAGTAATTAACGCCTAGCAGCTCGTCCTTCTCTGCCTGTCGTTTCCCCGCCTTCCATCGCTTTTCGTCCGTGCACGTGATAAAGTGCTCCCAAACACGACTACGCGACAAGACGGGATGCCGACAGACGTAATCGACAAACTCCTGCAGCTGAGTACGTCGATGCTCGATAAACGCATTTTCGTAGCGCCCGGATATCTGCTTGTCGGGCAGAGGTGGAATCGGAATGAAGCAATATTTTTCCTCTAAACGCTCGTGCAGCCAATCAAAGTGCTTGTATCTTCTCGAGACTTGTATATTATTAAACTACAATTCAGATAAATGTTAATATTAGAGAGAGAAAAAGTTTTAAAATCCTAAACGTAAGAAAGAAGACGCAACAATTTCTTTTACCGTAGGAGTTAGCTGGTAGACGATGAAACTCTTGAGACCCTTCAGCTTGGATTCCTTCTTGGGCGATGTGACGACGCAACTGTAAGATTCCCCGGTTGACACCCACGTACATCGACCAACTTCATCCTCCTCTATAAAAATCTTTTCGCTCTCAGGCACAGTTACTATTCTAGTGCCCATCAGAAAGCTATCTTCTCCCGACTTGATCAACGTAGAAAACTTGTTATTTTTCTTTGGTACATTGGGTATAGGCCTGTCTGGTATCACAGAGTGTATAGTATGCATTGATACTTGATCACCATATTCGCTAGCATTATTCTGCTGTGGCAGTTGTATAATTTGTGGTGGCTGCTGCTGCTGCTGCTGCGTAGGTGGAACATAAGCCTGTGTTTGTCCAACTTCAGAATCATCATCCCAATCATCGTCCCAATAATCCCCAGAGCTTTGTTGGGATGATGTCATAGCATCTGTGTATGTAATCCATATTTAAACCAATATCAAAACAATAATATATAATTTTTCAAAAATAAGTAACTTATCTGTTATTCACTCATTCTCTCTCAGAGACATATTATATATAATTGTACCATATTAACATATGGTTAATAAAAACAGAATAACACATAATAAATACATTTAATTTTCATAAATAAAAATATTACGTACTGGAAGGAATTGCAGGTTGTTCGACCATTTGAACATATGCCGCTGGAAACAAGCCTGATTGCCCACTCTGATTAAACCCCTCGCACCAGCCATCTCCCACATTGTCTCGTATGACAGTTAGGATCTCACCGGCAGTGATAGACAATTCCGCCGTTCCTGACTCGCCCATGAAGTCATATAGCGCTCTTACCTGGAAAAGGAAAGGTGAAAACAAAGGAAATAGGAGAATATAAAATCAAACGAATTTTCGCTCGAGACAATGGGAATAGAATTATTCCACTTGCTAATAGAATGAGTCATATAATCGAGTTGATCGAACTCGAAACAACGAGACTTTCATACACCGGATGCTGATTTACGTACCTGGTGGCCCTCCATCGTGTACGATTCACGATTCTCAGTGTATCGCGCGGACTTGAGTTTTTCTGCTAAGAAAATTCAAAAGCCGCCAAATTGCGCCCCGTCACATTCCTACTCTCGCCTTGCTGCCGTCATGAGCCATCTGACATTTGCGCGCTTTACTGCACTTCCAAGGGTTGCTTGTTGCTTGTGTACTCCTAATGCTATGAGTGGCAAACTGGAGCAGACTGTACACCGAGAACTCGTTCCTCCTAATTGCACCTTTTATATATTCTGCTTTATAAATTATCTCTATTTCTTTCCTCTTTTCTCTCCCGCCATAACCTACGTATATATTTACAGATCCGACCGTATCAGTTGCATTCTCGTTAGTCTCGTTTCGCCTTTTCTCATCACAAAGCACGAATATACATACATCTATCTCGTTTCGAACAGATGTTTTGTTTCAAGTACAGAAAGAGTAACGAGGTGCAGCTAAAAGATACCGATCTCGACGTTGCTTTTTCCACCGCTATCACGAACTCAGCTTTTTCGTTGACGGGATATGCGAAACTAACCGCGAGTGGTAAACAGATCGCAGTTGAATAAACATGATGACGATTGCACAATTGACAATGACGATGTCGCTAATCGGCAATTTTTTGCGAGAGATGTTTGCACGACGACTTTCGTCTTTCGTCCCGAATTCGAGAACCGGCTGATCTGCGGATCCACCTCTTCTCGGCCGCCAACGCGAGCTCAAAACTTTTCAAAACTTTTGATCGATACTATACACGCCGATCGGCGATACAGCCGTGGGTAATAAAAAATACAAGATGTGTCACGAAGGAACATTTTGCAAATACTGAAATTCTCTAGCAGGTAGCCAATCCCTTCATCGGGTCAATGCGATATCACCCTAAAACTAGGGACAATTGCATCGAAACTTTGCTAAATTGCGTGATCTTTAAATTAAACGCGGATTACATAACCTATTATGTTTCAAACAACAAGACATGGTATCGTGATCACAACATTTAAATTCGTACAACTAATTGTTGTACTTGAAAGTTTTACTAAAAAAATTTAACATGAATTCTCAACAAATAGTTCAACTTCCCCATCGACTCAGGGCAGCTTTTACGTCGAGATTTAATGAAATCGGCAATAAAATTAGAAACTATGAAATGCCCGAAAGAGTTAAAGGCACTTTTCTTGAACGCTGGGGTAAATAAGAATAGTGAATGAAATGTTATATTGTGTTTATGTAACGCAACAGTTTTTTTCATTTTGCAGCAAAATACTGGCACGGTCTGTATATAGATTATAAGGACGTTGCAATTGATGTAGTTAAAGATTGCAGAGAACGTCCTGTACGTGCCACAATATACACTACATGTATGTATCATTCTTTCTGTGTATTTGTCGAATTTATAATTGATATAACTTTAAGATATAACATGTATAATTAAAAATAATCTGCTCATAAAAAATAATTATATAATATAGTTTTAGGAGGTTGTTTTTATTCTAGTCGACTCAATCCAGATGAAACTATGTTCAGAGAACAATTACTACAAAATAGTATGAAATTAATACTAGTGGGAGAACCCATACGCAATCCTGTTTCAGTCCAGCATATAAAATGGTTGGAGCAATGTTATAATGAAGGACTCATCAGGAGATTAAACTTGGGTATCTTGTCTCTGATCTGGATAGATAATTATGACAAAGATTGTTCATTTTACAAGGCTGTCTGCCCTTATCTAAAACCACGATTCGTAACCTTTCATGAAAGGATAGTGGATGTAGGCTTTTTAGGCAAATGGTGGTTATTAGAAAGAAAAATGAAAAATTATGATATAAATGAGGCCGAATTTAATATTGTACAAATTGCAAACAATGTAGACACTACTTCAGCAATATAATAAATTTTAGGAGACTTTTGTCTGATTCATATACAAAAAAATATATAAATTGCAAAATTTTTGCCAACCAAGTATTTATATATATCCATAAATTAATTATTAGGATGCAGTCTACTTAAAAATCTAGTTGAAAAAACAGATGTACTTCTTCATTTTATAAATGTCCTCATGCAATTAATTTTTTTAGCTCTTGCGCATTAAGTAAATTATAATTTATTCTATAAAACATATTTAATAAAATTATTAATATATTCTGTAAAATTAATAAAATATTTTTATATACAAAACTTATATTCAAAATATATTAATTTGAAAACTTAGAAAATAATTCTTGAAAAAACGAACTAAATGTATCTATCAGTCTCTATTTCAATTAAAACCTGGAATTCTCAAGGAATTTTTTTGAGACTCAGGAAATTAAAAAAAATTCTCTAATTTTGTTCTTATATTATAAGCAATCTGCAATCCGCTGATGAATCAAGTCGTGAATTATTTGTTTGAGAATATATTATAAATATATATATCTCTGTTTATATATATTCAATATCTTAACAAAATATTGAATATGCAGCATATATTTTTCTATTTTAATTTTTAGTGATAAAAGAAAATTTTTATATGCAAGTTATAAATGGTTATCTTACAAAAGTAATTCAGTTTGTTTCAATACATTTACAAATCTAATACTTGAAACTTAAGAGGCTTTGTGTTTTTCTTTTGTAGAGTGAAAAACATTAAAAAATGTATACAATAAAACTTATTTTAGAAAATTGCGCCCAAAAATCTTTAATCTCTCTATTCTTTTTACCAGGAATTTCGAACAAAAATACGTGAAGGATAAAGGAGTTTTCAAGAAACTTTTTTACAATTTGGGTAGATACTCAGAATATATTCTATAAAAAAATATATATATAAGATCTCTCATTCTTCATTTATGTGTAATCTATTATACAATTTTTGGATAGAACTCCCATCTCTCTTTCCATGAAACGGTTTATGAATCTAAAAAAATTAATTTTTTATTAATATTATTTGCTATACACAGTATTAATACAAAATATATTGCATTGATATACATTACCAATTTGTGCGTAAACGATAGCCGTACGGCATGGAATGTAGACCATCATTTTGTGTTGATATGCAGAAAACGGTTCCGATAGTGTAAAATGTTGTACGTTTGTATCTATACGTCGTTGCCCTCCAAATTGTTCATCGTCGCTGCATAAAACGACTTTGTACGTTCCTGGATTTTTTATACCGACTGGATAATCAGCGAACGATTTGCATGGATGAAAATTGAAGACAAACACTAGATCAGCTCGGTCAAATACAATCACTTTGTCATCTTCATGCTTCCAGCTTACGTAACCCTATAAAATTAATATTCTTGGTTCTCACAAGAACTAAACTTCTAACTAAATTTCTTTTAATCCTTCAGTACTGAATTTACACAAATAATGTAATGTAATGTAATGTAATGTAATGTAGTTAATGTTATGTAAAGCACAAAGCTGCTTACAGGATGAGCATGCAGCCATCCGTATTTCTCTTCTAACGTATTGACTGCGCGATCCCAATTATTCATATATTTGTATTTCAGTAAGTCATTATCCACTAAATTCCACTGACGCCTAGCATAATGGTAACTGTCTGCATTTCCGACCCTTGGAAAGTCTAGCCATTCGGGATGGCCGAACTCGTTGCCTGTAAAACATATCTTTGTATAGAGTATTTCTGTGAATGTATATTTCGATAATATAATCGTGCGCATACACACACACGCATGCATAGGATTAACTAAATTATTACTTACCCATAAAGTTTAGATAAGCTTCGCCACCCAAACCATGTGTAATCAGCGTGATTAGATTATGGAGGGCAATGCCGCGAAAGATAATGTCGCTATGGTCACTAAGTGTACTCATGTGCGTGTACATCTCCTTGTCCATGAGCCAGAACGCAATCGTCTTATCACCCACAAGGGCCTGATCATGAGACTCGGAATAAGCGACCGTCTTCTCCATCCATCTTCGATTGGACAATGTCCAACAAATCTCAGCAATCTTCCAATCTTCATCTCTGGTATCTTTCAATAGCTTGATCCATTTATCGGGAATAGCCATAGCCAATCGATAGTCGAATCCTATTCCACCTTCGGCGATTGGTCTTGAATATTTTATCATTTGATTATAATATTATATTACATATTTTTATTTAACTTATGTAAATTGATATATGTTTCATACCTGCACATGCCCGGCATTCCACTAACATCTTCAGCTATCGTAACAATCTCGGGATATATTTCGTGCAACATATGGTTAGCAAGCATCAAGTAGACTATACCCTCCACATCAACATTCAGGTTGTAATATTCATCATAATGACCACTGAAACCTTGTCCTAAGCCTCTTGAATGATACAGCATCGATGAAACGCCGTCAAATCTACCAAATATTCAAACATTTTAATAAAAAATTATGACTACAGAAATGTTATAAATTTTTTACAATACTATATAGATCTGTTCTCATAGGTAATAAATACCTGAATCCATCAAAACCATATTCCTCGATGTACCAACGTAAATTGGACAGTAGAAATCGAACTACTTCATATTCTGCATAATTGAACAATCTGCTGTCCCATAAAGAATGCTCGCCGCGAGAGCCGGAATGGAAGAAACATGCGTCTGTACCATCAAACATGTTCAGCCCATCCAAAGTGTTCTTAGAAGCATGTGAATGTACCACATCTAGCAAAACATAGAGACCATGTTGATGCGCCACATCTAGCAACTCTTTCAATTCTTCTGGAGTTCCATAGCGAGATGAAGCAGCATAGAAAGAAGTTACCTAAATTAATTTTAACAAAACACGTTATACAGAGAGAGCTGACATTTGCAGATATTTTTATATAATTATTTGGAAATTTATTTTGTGTATACAAATATATGCAACCTGATATCCAAAACTAGCATAATAAGCATGCTCCATTACTGCCATTAATTGTATCGCGTTGTAATTTTGCTTTTTGATCCTTGGTATCACATTTTTAGCAAACTCCAAATAAGTGCCAACCCGTCCCTCCTCTGTAGCAATTCCAACGTGACATTCATAAATCCTCAAGCTTTCCGGCTTGTTTGGTTTAGGATGTTTAAACTTGTATACCTGAAAAAAGAATAATAAATACAAATATCCTTGTTACATACCAAATATAGACATATTTATAACTGTAATTATATCTACATACATGTTCTGGATGCCATATACGTTGTTTATAAGTGGTTCCTTCTGATTTATTTGGTGGCTGTGTTACATAATTCGCCCAAGGGCTCAGCCTTTCAAGCAACTCATTATTATGATTTTTTATGATAATTTTTACTTCAGACAGATGCTTTAAAGGACAACTGCCATCTGCATTTGGAGGTAAATGCAGCTCCCATTTTCCATGTTCTAATCTTTTGTATGGCGTAGCAGTCTTATTCCAATTATCTAAATAAAAGAGGGTTATATTAATTAAATCATGATCTTTTGATATAATGTTAAATATATAATTGTACGCAAATATGATTTTTTCTTACTGAAATCTCCAGTTAGAAATACTTCCTGTGCACCAGGTGCCCATTCTTTTGCAACAACACTATTGTCATCTTGAATATGAATACCAAAATTTTTGTATGCAGTTGTAAATTGCTTCAAGTCTCCATCTCCTGCCTCTAATTTTTCAACATAATCCTTAAACACGGCATATCTGAAGATAGGAAAATATTGCTAAGAATAATCATGGATGTTTACATAAATTGCTTTAAAAATAAATACCTCCGGCGAATATCGTTCTCATATAACTTTAAATAGGGATCTCTTTCCAGCAATTTGTTTATCTCTGGAACCTCGACTTGCGAGGGATCCATGCTAGACCATTTTCCTCCCATATTTTTGTGCAAACAACCTCCAAACACCGATTAACGAAATCGACTGCGTAAATGAAGCGAGAACCGGCTAAAATTTGAATGACATGTCAAGGTGATCCCTTCCATGACTGTGATCCCCTCTCTGTCATGGATGACGCGCGACGAATTGCATCTTGATACAGGAAAAGGCGAAATGGATCCAAATAAAAAGCACACACGTGTTGAGTGTGACAAGTTTAATGCTACCTAATTTGATAACTTGATCTGGTTTGACTTTTGCTTCATCATGTTATTCCCGCGCTTTAGGGCTCGGTGCGCAAGAGAGAGTTTACGAACAAACAAGAAACATATGCATAGGTAAGCATTCCGATATTCACCGCCAGTACTAAAAATCTATAGTTTACATCACGTGCATTATAGATTTTCAGTGCTGGCAGTGGACAGTGATGCCAGAAACGGGTCCCGCGGCTCACGGCTCAGCAATGGAAGGGGTAACGCACACAAGCGCAAACCGCGTACATGTGCCACATGGGTGTTTATCTGGGACACGGTACGGCTCCGCAGCTATCCTCAAACTAAAATCATGCTGCGCGAGTGTCTGCATAAAGAGATCTTGTGCCCCCGGGCATGATTCAAATTTGATTGGAGGATTCGGACTGCCATACTATTTGTTGACAGATCCGGCCTCCACCGATGTCTCCTCTTACGTCATGGCGATGTCGACGTCCATCTGAGCCTTCTCTTCTTCTTTCTGTTCCGGTTCCTTGATGCTTCTTTTGGAAAGGTTCAAATAACTCCCTGGATCTGACTCCGTCCCTCTGTCTTCTATCGTTCTTTTAGACGATTTTGGACCTGGCTTATACGCCCTCTGTTTTACCGCGGGTCCCTCTTTTGTCTGAGAGACCGCGGCAACGGGGGCGTCCGCGGTTTTCTTAGCCACAGTAGTGACTGTCATTCTAACCGCGCCTCCTACCTCTAACCTCTTTCTATGTTTTTTAGGCGCAGGTGCGCAGGCCCGCTCTGTGATTTGCGGGTCTCCCCAGGTCCGTACAGACTGGGCACTTGGGAGAGAACTGGCAATCCTTGGCCACATGGCCAGCGTCTCCGCATCTGTAGCATCGTCGACTGCGATCAACTCCGCTACTGCAGTTGGACTGCACGTGTCCCCGTTCCAAGCATTTAACACATTGGAGGGGGCGTGCATCTCTACTCGGGCCATGATCCAGCTTGCTTGTGTGCGTTACCCCTTCCATTGCTGAGCCGTGAGCCGCGGGACCCGTTTCTGGCATCACTGGCAGTGGATAAGAATATCGGAACTTCGGAACCAGCCAAAACGCAGCCGTAGGAAATTACGTAATATTGCGTTTATCTGTGTTTTCTTAAAAACTCTCCCTCTCTTTATCAAAGAGTAGAAATAAATGTCAATCGTTATCTCTCTCAAAGATTGATTAACGTATTACGAAATAATTGCGGGCGTATAAGATTTTTTTCACTATATCAAAAGAAAAATTATTTCCAGACTTTAAAAAATTAATAGAAAATGATTACGGAAGAGGATATTGGAGTAATTATGGTGGTACAACATATGCGTACTGGTTCTATAATGCACTTATTATATATTTAGAATCTTAATAGATAAATTCTTCTTGCCAATAGCGGATATTTCAAGCAGATGCAATTTCACAATTTAAACATTTAACGCGATTGTTAGATTAGAGCGGGAAATATAGTAAAGTAAAATAGGAGAATTGAAGAGAGAAAATCGGCAAGGAAATTTTATTAGAGATACACGAGGACGACATTGCAATTGTATTATGTAAGAATAATAATACCAATGACTTGTATAAAGACTCACATTGTAAGTACAATGTACAATTTACGTAATATTTATATGTTGATAAATGCAAAAGTTACAGCAGCCTAAAGCGATATATAAATATCGCGAAATACATAATAACATATACTTAAATTAAATTATCGCATTTTTTTGTGGATTATGTACTAGTACACAAACGTATTTGGTTGACCTTTATATAATCATAGAAAGAGAGGTCCTTTTGAAATAGAGTGTGTATGCATATGTTAATGAAAATGTGTGGAGAATATGTATGTGTAATTATAATTAGTAGAAATTTATTATTGAATAATATATTCTTACTTATTGATTATTTTGACTGTTGTTCACAAAGTATATGAAAATAAATAAATACGTTTTTTAAAGTAGTAACATGGTATTAGAAACTTGGAGACAATAAGTGAAGTTCAGACACTGAACATCTTGCAGCTTTGGTCCATTCTTATCTTAACTAAGCTTTAAAAATTCGTTTAAAGAATGTGTATATATAGATATACACTCTTAATTAATTCTTAAATAAAGTAGACATATACATCTGCGATATGAATAATGGGGATTGCATTCCTTGTTATTTTCCTTTTTTCGTTGTCTTTTATATATAATATTTTCCTTAACGCAAATGTACGAAAATTGACAGAATTATAAGTAAATTTATAATAAAGCATTGAAGCTTTAAGAAAAATATTACCAAAAAAGGGAATGAAAAGAAAAAATATATGCATTTTAATTTTATAGGAGATTAAATACTATGTTAATGTTAACGTCTTGAACTATGAGATTAAAATTGTATTGAAGAATTTTAGTATACTTGTGAGAGAATTAGCACCTGGCTAAAATGTCCGGATGAGTTCTCTGCCTTGGAAATGGTTCATAAAATAACTCGTCTAGCATGCTGTTTGTTAGTGGGTTTTTGATCTTGAATTCGTTTTGTTAATATAATTTGCTGTGTTGTTTATGGGAGTATTATTGACCGAAGTGTCAGATACTTCGTCACTGCTATTACTGCGAATATCACCCTCCATCTGTAATATTTTTTTCAAAGAAAAAGAAGAAAAGATTAGCATATAAATGTACATTTATTCATCAATATCAAAAAAATGTCTCAATGAACGTGCACGCGACAATTTATATAAATCAACACCACGTACCTGACCAGCATTGAAAGAGTTATACGCGATTTTAAGGATTAAATAAGTCCAAATCAAGTGGAGAAGCAGTAGTAAAATTAATAAAGAGTTAAAGATATAATATGCAGGGAACATCGGAACTATCTTAGGCGCCTCTATAGATGTGCTGTAATACATAATAAGTTTGGGTCACTCTGCATTCATGAAATGTATATTTAAATGAATTAAAAAAAGATATACTGATACATACCTATATATTATCCAAAATGGATACACACCCGTACGTGTCACAATCCACAGAATTGTAAACATGACGAATATACAATCACATACCTTTTGATAATTTGCATACTTGGCCATTTTTGCCGCCTGAAAGCATCAAGAAATAAATTATATTAATTAAAATATACAAAATTCCGCGAGCAATTTTAATCCTTTAAACTCTTACCTCCAAGAGTATATCTCCACAATCATGCACTAACAAGACCAAAGAACCAATCCTTGTTAGGTTTCCGACCCATGAGAAACACATGAGCAAAATTGTTGCTATGTGATGAATGAACATCTGCCAAAAATCTTTTCTCTTCACATCGAAGAATTGGGAGAAGCTTAATGCCCAATAAAATGCCATTGATATCATATAATACCACCATATATCACTGGTAACAGGATGGTAAGGATAATTATAATAACAATGCTTTATATCCCAAAGCCATTGTTTGTCCCATAGAATAACAAGGCCGTAAGAGAATGAATATATATAATAGAAACATCTCCAACTAAAAGAAAAGAAAAGATTATGTATATTATTTTTTTGGGTGTCATGCAATTTTTGCAAGATGTACAGTATAGTTACTGAAGATAACTGACCTGTTTTCACAAAACTTTGTAAGAGTCGATGGCTTATCTTGAGAACGACGTAATCGTAGCCATCTCTCCACCTGCCTTTCAGACCAATCTAATTGTTTAGCCAAGCCTGAAATCTGGAAATACAGTTCTGTGTTACATAATGCTAACATAACATGCAAATAATTTACATACAAATGCATAAGTCATTAATGTTTCAATTTGTACTTTAAAGCTATTAACAAGGTAATATTTTAGTTATTTATGAAAATAACTTTCTATATCAATTAAAAATTTGATTTTGTTTGTTATAATCGTGTATCTAATTAAATTTTCTTGTAGGATGGATTAGTGTCACTCACTTGCTTATACTTAGTTTGCTTATTAAGATATGCTTTTTCTAATATTTCATTGGGTACTGCTCGTTTGCTTCTGGTATTTTTTATACCAATTGACTTTCCAAAGGGAGCAAACCAATACCTGTATGAAAAATATGAATTACGAATATAACGTTATATAAACTAGCCTTCTTTCAAAATTCCATAAATTTTTTAATGCACATTAGATATTTTTCTCATTTATAATATATAATTTTTAGTATTGTGCATTTATTTGATATATATTTATAACTTTCTAGAAGTAAAACATTAACATATTTAAAGAGATAAAATACAAAGGCTATAAAATCAGAAGGCAGATGGAACTTTACCTTTCAAGAGTATATCTTATCCCTAGTAGAACAAATGCCATGGGCAGAGGAAATATTAAGTGCTGATAATTAGCATACTTATTGTCTGCATTCGGACTGATATCCTCCCATGTTATATTAGAAGGCAACCACACATCCGGCGACCAAAAGGTCGCCGAAATATTTCTCAAGATATTCATCCCTTTGTAGCCTACAAAGCACAAATGTATTAGCATAATTATGATAATGTAAAGGAGAAACATATCTTTTAATTATTCGTATTTGAAGGAATTGAAGTACGAATGTATAAAAAATGCTATTTTAAATTACATTAGTTGATTTATATCCAACTATAGTGATATAAGAGAAAGAAATTGCAGAAGGAGAAAGAACGAGTGAGAGAGAGAGAGAGAGAGATCGAGATTAGGATTAATTAATGTCAAAATTATGTTGTCCCATTTATCAGAAGAACACGATTGAAACACGGGACTATCTATTACTCTCGTGTAAATAAATACACCCCGCGAAGGAAGATTAATCGGGAAGATTTTTCGAGTGCAACAAGCAGACACTTACTCGGAGCTGCCGCTTCGACATGTATCGCACGATCTGAAACGCGCCACTGGACGGACGGGAGAAGTGCGACAAGAGAGCGCGCGTGCTCGTATCACGCAGGCTGCGTCGTTTCCGCTCCTAATGTAGCACGCTATCGAAATGACACTTCGATAATTCTTGCCATAATAAGGGGGGGGGGGGGAAAGAGGGAGAGCCGCGATAAGAATAATCCGAACGGATATCTTTGATCGAAGCCGGTTAAATTTCGTAAGACGCTGGTCAAAGTCTCGTTATCATTACTTTATCGTAGCCACTGGGACTTTATTACACCACTACTATTATAGTCACCACTACCACCACGAGCGATTGTCATACGATCGAGATAACGAACCCATTCGGCCACGTAAGTATGCCGTATCACCGCTTTGATACTGGTCGCACCAACGCTGTCAATCTCGGCGCGCCGTTATAGAACGCGCGATACCTCTAATTAATTAATGATTACCGCACGAGACGAGACTGACCCGCTCGTGCGTGCCAGCGTTTCGACGTTCCGGCAAGAGGCGCGCCCGGCAAGGACGAGCACGTCCGATCGCATCCGATCTACGCAACTGCAGTGGGAGTTCTCTCTCTCTCTCTCTCTCTCTCTCTCTCTCTCTCTGTCACTGTATTCTTTTTCTTTCTTTCCTATCGCTCGCTCTGTTTTTTTATATATATATATATATATAGAGGTTTCCATGGAATCGGCAACGAATGTTCCCCTTCGATACTTTGACCTTATTTGATAATTCGATATTACTTTAGGCTGTATTTACGTTAATAAGCAGCTTTATCGCGATGATTTCATGGAGGGGGTTATTACATTGTACACTAGGTGCCATGCGCGGCTTTTATCGCGCCGAGAATAAAAAAAATGTGGTTAAAGGTGAGTCATCGAAACGGCCGCGAGATAGAACGGCGAATGGCATTGATTTATTAATTTCCAGCAATTTGATATCCGCAAATATTAGTGTTATCAGTGGCGTATGTTGAGAGTTTGACGATAATTTTATAGGCAAAATTATAACATTTTTGTCCTTGAAATAAGAATATGATTTCTTTTTTCTTTTATACTCCGAATACTAATTACACTTTGGAACGTGGATCGTTAAAAGTGTGTTCGTTCAAATGGCTTCTCGTGGTGTAGCGACCAATAGCAACTCACCTTGATGCGACTATTTCAAAATCCTAGTCTGCATAACTCTAGTTGCGCGTGTTTTGCGGTTTCGCACTTAATTCACATGAGGACGTGTCGATGCAGGTATATTTAAAAAATCAAACGTTGAAAAATATACATATATGTTTAA